GTGGTTATCATCATTACCTTCATTACAGCCTATAAAAGTTCACTGCTGAACTTAGGCCCCCCACAGACTGTCTCACAGAAGCGATTTTTCCAAAGTTGCCACGGTTGGCAGGTGGGTCGGCAACCATAATTTATTATTATTTTGAGATTTTATCTGGAAGAGCTGCTTCCAATTCCCTATCACAGTATCCCTCTGTCGCCTCTTAAGACACGCACGGGCACTTAAGACACGATATATGGAAGTGGACATTCTTACACGGCTTAAGTGGCACTACTTTAACGGCGCTGCTTACCAAACACGGAGAAATATAAACCATTACATTTGATGATGGAAGACTCAGATCATTATATTATATCTCATCATTATATTCTTCAAGATATTGTCAGTTGTTAATACGTGGCAGAACCATGCTGCAGCTATATTATTGTTATAGCACGAATGCGTCGACTTGACCGGGATAGGACCACGCTCTTACAAAATACCAGCATAAATAGTAGCGTTATGATGCTGTGTTTTGTATGGTGAGTGTAGAGAAGAACGGGATACATTTTTTATTGAAAAAGAGGCATTCTATCTTAGTCCTCAGGGGGGACAACGCATCTGCTTTTTCACTTTTAACTGAGGATAGAAGTAGATGTCTATGGGCCACAGCATCTAATTACCATCAGGTGGACTGTGTGCTCGTTTGTTACCCGTATTCTTTGAAGATTTATCGACGCTGGGTAAACGGATTGGTGAGAGCAGAGCAGTCAAGTATGACGTCCTTATATCTTAATGGCGCAGAGTCGATGCACTTATTATATTATGCCGTGTGAAAATAACTCATAAAATATGTGTTCGTTTCGTGAAATTTAATTTAATGTAATTTTTTTAATATCTATAATGCTAGTTTCGAACGACTTTATTTCCTCTAACAGAACAATAATTACGTATATTTATTCAAATGCAGCATGTTCACATGCACACTTATTATCCATTAAGATCATTTAATTCACCATATAAAAATGAAGTAAAGAATATTTAATATCTATATGTTATTCCTGTCTGTTTTAAAGCTTGCAATGCAACTTACCAATTTAAAATATTATCTTAAAAATACATTACATATTCAAAATTTCTGTTTCTTTTTCACTAGTGACAAAATTAACTTTACATGACTGTTTATAATCATTTAAAAATAATACTATTAGAACAAGATCTGTAGTACCACAGTTTATTTAAAAGCGGTTATTTATTATTATCGTACATAAATGAGGGTATGCATAAGTGTACTTATTCGTGCTACGCTGTTTTAAATACTTTGTCTCACTTACACTTCCAAACATAAATAAACGCATGACAAAACGATAAGGCTTAAAGCCTTTTATTGGCAAGTCAATAATTTAATATGGGATTATGTTTAATAAAAACCTAATAGTGTATGTTGTGGATATGATCAGGTTTCAAAACGAAACTCGGTCCTAAATTCTCTATTTTATTTTATTGCTAGGACAATCATTGAACATGCTTTGATAGTACGCAATTTTCTGAAACGGCTTTATTTTCTTAGCAAATATTACAAAACTATATGGCAAAAGCAGCTTTATTTCAATAGCATAAAGTTTATTTTAAGCAACACTTAAACGTTGAAAGTGAAAAGTCGATCAGTGTTGGTGGTCGGCGGAGCCCTGAGGCCTGTTCCCACGAGTATCGCGCACGTTGGAAAATTTATGGTTATGAACTGAGAAATCTGTCATAAGAGATACGAATGGCGTACCTGAATCTGAAATAGCGTGAATAATTTTTCATAAAGAGGATCTCGCTTTAGAAGGCTTGATACTGCAAATTTCCCTAAGAAAAATATCATTGCATTAATCCAAAGCGAGAAACCGGGTTTATAATATAATTTTATTTAATGAATAAATTTTTACTAGTTGCACATACTCACTAGACCAAATATAGTTATGTAACAACATACATTTCAGATTTATTTCTTATTGAATTTTATTTAAAGTTGTATTTTAAACTATATCGCTGGTTCTGATATTTTCGCAATAAATCGACGAGAGTATTACGATATTTGCACTTACATTTGGACATGCCCGGACGTTTGCAGAAATGTTTTCGTTTATTTTTTTTAATTTTAATATGTTCGAAAAGCAGTAAGAAATTTTACATTATTTTTCTATTTTTAAATATATTTTTTCTTATTATCATTATCAGTTTGTTAATAAATGTTATATACCATACTAAAATTTGAAATCTACAAATTTAATATAAAACATAATACTAGACAAAATTTTCTGGCAAATTATCGATACTCGATATTCAGTATGTATTCGTGTAATCGCAAGGTTTGAAAGGTTTACGCATCCAAATCTGTTCGATATAAAGCACATTGGAGGTAGATATCGATACAATATCAAAGGGACAAGATTTTAGTTTCTTCGTTTTAACCCCGAATTCGATTAAGGTGTCGTGTGATGGTATGATGGTCAACAAATCTGCTAAAACGAAGACCTGACTGCATATGAACCGTTACTGTTGCCGTTTCAGTCTATCAAAGTCCACTGCTGAACATAGGCCTCCCCAATAGATTAACTCATAGGGGGGATAATTTCCATAGTTACCACGCCTGCAGGCGGGGTGGAAACCGCTGTTTTTATTTTTAGTTGTTATTAGGAAGATACTGCTGCACATCTTCTGATTTGTTTTTTTGCTGTCGCTTCTTACGATGTCAACGAGACATAGTGTAATGAATATTCTTACACCGCCACTACACGGTGAGCATATGACATATGAACAGTTCTATACTAATATGCTACTTTTCGTCTACTTCTGCTACCGTTTCTTCATAATAATATGTATCTGCCGTAAAAATTCATTAACACAAACGTCTAGCACCAATAACGCTGCTACCCGTTGTCAGTTTAGATATTTAATAGCTGGCATAAGATATGGTATATCCTCATCTATCGAAAGCTTTGAGATCTTTCTGGCCTCTACCATAATCGCCTATCACGAGACTTATGGGACGAAATGATGTAATCGGTTCATAAGAAAATACTGCCTTTAAAGATTTTAAAATAAAATAAATAAATAAGACATAATAAATTCTGAGTTATGTTTGTCTAAAAAGATAAAAGTCCAGCGTTCTTTTCCCTCACAAAATAATTATTTTCCGTAATCAGCACAATTAACAGTTGGCGTTGATTTTTTTATTCATTCATTACAGGCTATCATAAGTCCATAGCTGAATATAGGAATCCCCCATGTAGTGGCAGTGATATGCCCAAATACTCCAATACTACTTAATTTTAAGATGCTGTTAAGTCGCGCGCTGTCTCTATCACATCAAGTCATATTGACTGTGACAGCACGAGACTTAACGACATCTTAAAATTGAGAAGCGTTTGATAATCTATTACCCCCTATTATTTGCGACCCACTTGCCAAACGTGGTAGCTATGGCTAATTTGCCCCCTATTAGGTGTTCTTTGGGAGAGGATTACTTTAAAGGTACATAGCAAATATAACTACATTTATAATAATTTTTATAGCCTATAGTAAAATCCACTGCTAAACATACGCCTCCCCCATAGAAGTTGTTTCTTTTAGTTATCACCAGGAAGATACTACTGGCCATCTTCTCTTTCAGTTTCCCTCTGTTGCCTGTTACGACACCTACGATATGGTATAGGATAGTGGATTTTCTTAGGCTGCCGCTACACTGCACCACTAAACCTATAATACCAAATGTAAATGCATGTTGTTAACATATTTTGAGTACTTTTCTGTTAAATAAATATACTGCATACGCAATATTTACGATTGTATTGCACAACAACTAAACGGCGAACGATAAAATAGTTTCATTTTCGGATAAATTACAACACTTCCTGTACGTCTAAACAATTTGCAATTTAAATTTTAACTCGTATCCCACGGGAACCAGTATCGAATGTAAAAAGTTACAGATAACATGGTCAGATCATAAGCCTCTTTCCAATGAAAAGGCTTTCTTTATTCATACGCAGTAGGAAGCTCGACAGCGTATAGAAATTCTAAACACTTAAATAAACATTTATTTTGAAATAACTCAAACGACCGGCATGGAATAAAATTTGTTATATTTTTTACTTCTATCCATTCATTTACTACAGCCTATGAAATTCCACTGCTGAACATAGGTCTCCACCATAGATGGCCGGGAAGGATTTTACCATAGTTGCCACGCTTGGCATACGGGTTGCCAACCGCAGTTCTTTATTATTTTGAGTTGTTATCATGATGCTGCTGTTTGATTCTTGCTTCAGTTTCCCTCTATTATCTCTTACGACATCTATAGCACGATATGGGATAATAGATATTCGTGCACCGCCACTATAAGGTTTAGTGGTTTTGCAAGAATCGTTCACAACTATTTTTTACAGGATTATTTGTTCTTCTTCATCGGTCCATAAAAGTTCACTGCTGAGCATGAACCTCTCTAGAAAGCATTTGCCATATACACTAATACTTAGTGCAGTAAGACGTAGACCTAAATGATTTGCGAGTTATGAGTTCGAACTTTAGACTTATCCAATATTTGCAATTTTTAATTTGGATGTATTGTAATTAAACCTACTTTGTGCCTACTAACTAGTAGACACAAAAAGAGTCTGATAAGTTTGCCGAGAGCTTCAATAAAACACAATTACAATGTATAAGCGTTTTATTCAGATTGGTTGATATAAAGGCCGCACGCAGGAGGCCGTGTACTATAATTTTACAAAACTAGCCTCCCAAGATTTGTTATAAGAGAATATAAATAAATGACCTACATTACAGAACCCTATAACTTATTTTAATTTACTGAGGAAATTAATTTACTTGCTCTTTAAATTTTAATATATTACGTGTTTTTAGAATTTCAGGTACAAGCAAGTCCTTCAGGCGCCCCTTTCCCATTCGATGTAAACCACAACCTTAATTATTCTCCAGCACCATGGTCTACGAACGTCCTCAGAGACAAGAGCAATTTGGGTCAAGAACTTGCTCACTCTGAACCAGGATTCGATCTGACTGAAGAAGAAATAAAAAAGTTTAAAATCTGGCCGCAAGGAATCATTCCATACTTCATTGACACCTTCTCTTTTGGTAATATTAATGATTGAAAGTAAAGAAAGTAAAGTCATAAGTTTCGCTGTTCCGCTAGTTACTACTACTACTGAACCGGTTATAAAGTAAAAATATTTTGCCGCGCTGCAACAGCGCGGATTGCTCCACATCATGTGTTCTAACAATGTTTTCCGTTTTTAAGACGTGTAGATTTCTTCGCGATGTTTTCCTTCACAGGTGATAAATCAGTACTTATTTTTCGAATAATAATTTTTGTTTTACCATCTAACACCTATAATAATCGTTTCAGCTGCTGGTTTCTGGTTATTAGATACGAATTCTAGCAAACAACAATTTCTTCATTTGTATACATTACTATTTAGAAAATACATCTGCCAATACTGTATCCGCTAATACGGTTTCCATCGTGATCGCTCAGCTCGTGATCTTACCTAACTCATAGACAGGCGGGAGAAGTAGAGTCCAAGTGCGAGGCCTTGGCTGTCGGGTTTGACACAACGCGCTTCTTTCGAAGCATCATCCCTATGGATTTTCCAAGAAATTATGCAATTCAATCACCAGTATTTTTGCAGATCTAAGATTGAGGCCATGGTTGTGAAGTGGACGGTTCATGCTACGACAAGCTTATTTACTCACAAGACTAGGTGCTATCACCTACGATATTTCATCTGCATATCAATGATATGGTGCAAGCCAGTAATATTTATTGCTTTGCGGATGACAGCACTCGTGATGCTTCTTACACCTGCCTTGCCAATATTTTTCAGGAACACGTCAAAGAATGTCGGCACAAACCTGTGTCTGAAGTCGAATCTTTGTTAAACAAAGTCTCAAATTGGAGACAATTAAACGCTACGGTAGAACCCGTTTGTCAAGTATCGTCATCTTTACTGCCTCAGCCAGCATTGAAAGCATTGGCGTTGACATATCTAGTGACGTTCAGTTCCGCGGTTACTTGGAAGGGCACATGCACAGCATTTTATTACAGCATGCCGCTTGCAACTTTACAAGGCGCAAGTTCGGCGTCATATGGAATACTGTTCTCATTTCTGGGCTAGAGCATGTCAGTGCCAGCTCCTTCGATTAGACCGTATTCAGCGAAGAGCACCCGAATCGTGGCGAACGTGTTGCAGTCCTAACAAGAAATTCAAACAAATTCGTCCACCGAATTCCACCATTAAATACACATCGCGACAGAATTCGCGACACCATCAATACCATCTAGACGCTTAGCGGTCCATCATTGTATTACCAGAATATTCCTTTCTCACTTTTATCTACTTTCTTTCTGCTTTCGCCTACTATTTTTTAAATGGCCGACAACGCACCTGTAATTCCATTGGTTTTGCGGTTGTTCATGGGCGGCAATAGGCATTTAGCATCAGGTGAGTCGCAACATTCCCCCAAATGCTCATCACATCGCCAGTCTGGGACTTGAGTTAAATATTTTTGAATGAATATACCGCCAGATGCGGTTGGATTGAATTTGACGATGTTCTTCAATACCTGTTACATACCAAAAAGTAAAAGTGCATATTTCGTTTAATAGATAAAGTACTCCGCGATAGAATTCGCAACTACCTTGATCTTACAAACCGCGTAACTGGTCTAAGATTTATGGAAGTACCAAGACCACCCACCGACGAGAAAACTAGGTGGGTGCTTTTCATAAATCGGCAAGGCCTTCTTAATTGCGCAGATCATTCTATAAAGGATTTTACAAACGAAGGTGCACAGGTGAGTTTTTAATTTATACGAAGTTACTGTAGTCTAATAAATGATGCCTACCTGACTGCTTTGTAAGGCTAGTGCTGATCATGAGGACCGGAGTCGAATCCCCCGTTCTACTGAAATTAGTTAGTAGTAGTGATCCCATAGTATATAGATAGAATATATATGTATAGTATATAGAAGTCCCATCGGACATGAGAGTGAGGGAATAGAGAGAGTACCTGTGTTTTTGCACACACTCGTACACTATAAGCCTGTGCTGCGAAGATGGCTGGTCTCCGTTGAGATTGGCTGCCGTGGCCGAAAGTTTCTATTCGACTTATGAATACTTAAAAAAATATTATATAGGCACAAAAAATATTCGAAACGGACGTTTGAGTGGGTAGTAGTGCTTGTGTTGGGTGACTCTGCTCATCCATTGGACCGAGTATACAATATTTATTTTTAGTGTTTTTAATAACTAAACTAAAATCTTGAGATCGGATAATAATCACTAGATTTTATGTCAAAGTTGTATGTGTTTGTGTGAGTGTGTGTATGTGTTTGTGTGTGTGTGTGTGTGTGTGTGTGTGTGTGTGTGTGTGTGTGTGTGTGTGTGTGTGTGTTTGTGTGTAAGTGAGAGAGAGAGAGTGGGTGTGTGTGTGAGAGGAGGAGAGAGTGTGTGCATGTTTCTGAGAATGAGTGCATGTGTGTTGATAAATCATTAAAATTTGAATTGTCTACGATTCGTACTTAAATAAAAAGTCCTCCAAGTCATGGTACCCTAGCGTCTCGAGCTAGCAAACTATTGTTTTTTACATTCATACAATTGAAGGATATCTATTGAATATTTATTGTGAAGATTATTGTAGAGATAGGCAGAGTGAGCTTGAAACTGACGCCTGGCAAAAAGAGTTCTACATGGAGTAATAGGAGCCACTTTTACACACACACTTCCTTCTACCTGTTTGAATTTATGTTCATACGGCAAGGATTTATGTAATTTAAGTACAGAGTTGACAATATAGTTTTCTTAATGACAATATTTTATGATGTAGATATAGTTCATCAGTAGGAAATCTAAAAGGCTTAAAAACATTGTCTTAAGTAGGCATCTCTGGGCTTTTTCAGCCTCGAGGAATTTAGTTTTAATATTTTCTACATTATTTATCTTGTTGACTGTAGAAAGTGGTTTTGGGCTATGACTGCTTAGCCTTCGGTGGAGAACTCACCCAAGCAATTATGGCCCTACTTGGAGTGCCGCCTCAACATAACTCTCCTGATCGTGATAAATATATCAAGATAAAGGACGAAAATATAATTCCAGGTAAATATTCCATAAAGTAGGTATATTTTCTTCATAATATGTATTATTATTATCATCATCGATATACTCATGAAATTATGTACGAAATCCTTTCTAAATAATTCTTTTACGCGTCCTTCTGAGCAATGTCTATGTCCGATTTCTTACACAAACGGTGCCATTACAAAATAAAAATTATTGATCATAAATATTACATTATTATGACGCACTTACAAATAAATTTTATCTGAATGCTGGACTTGAAGAAAGTGACTTGGCCCGCGATGGAAAAAAAATAATAACTTAATCATTCCATTTGTTAATTTTTTTGTACGCATTCTGGTAGTGACAATGATAATCCAATGATAGTTGTAAGTAAATATAGATTAGTATCAATAATGAAAATCACATTGAACTACATAATATTCAAGCCTTCATCATAATCAAAAGCCACAATTTTGTCAATATTTTTGAATTAATACCAGTAATAGTGTGACAAATTGTCGTCGCTAATGTCAGATTCACATTCGATCATCTTAGTGTATCGTATTTCGATCGCTTGACGCAGACGTGTATCCTAATCGCTAGTTCTGGCGCAAATATTACATTTTACACGATCATGTAATACGTCCCGTTTCGCACAAAACCCTGTATGTGGTACACCTTGTATCAGATACTCGTACGTGTGTTATACCGATACGCTGACATGATACATTATGGTTGACTATGGACGCGTTTTTTGACATGATACTGCTAGTGATATTTTTATATCAGTGAAGTGACAAATGAACTTACAATCCACCTAATTGCCCATGGCCACCTGTTGTCTATGGCCATCTGCAGCCAACTATGGCCATCTGCATCCAACTTCAAACAAATGTAATACCATTGGAAGAAAATTATGTCTGTTTTTGTGGAAATATTATATTTTATAAAATGTATTCTGTAATTTATAAAAACCTATCATTATAATGTTGTAATTCCAAACGATATGTCTGATAGCGCCGTTAATACTCGTCAGTTTGGTCCTGTTCTATTGCAAACCCCCCCCCCCCCCCATTCCCTCTCATATAATATCATATCACTCCCGCCTAGTTCATCCCAGTAATCGCGAAAGTCGGTCGGAGTTTTTAAATGATTTAGAATAAAGGAGGAGGATCTCAATTCGAGTACTTGTTTGTATGTTATGCTACTCGATATTAGTTAAAACGGTTTTAAAATGTATTTTAAAGGCACGGTGACCTAAAAATATACGTTACCAAATACTTAATAACGTTATAGTCTATATATACGTCACACTCCTGGTTGCAGGGCTTCTCTCATTTCTAAGAAGGTTTATTGCAAGGGAGTATCGCCACCTTGCCCCAATGCATGTTGGCGAATTTTATATTAATTTTCATTGCCAGGGGGAATTGAACCCATGTTGCTCGACTGCTGAGAAATGTGTGGGCGAATGCCTAGCTCCTGAACTACCAACTATTATATACACAAATACTTACGCACCGATAAATTTATTGATCATAACATTATAACAGCGTCATCTTGGCAATCGTTAAAGCCACCTATTATAATGTGTGTTAAAACTTCTACATTAGTTTTTTTGTATATTTTGCCGATAAATATTATGTTAGTGTTAGATAATTTTGAATTGGTTACAGAGAAGAAGCATTTGTTTGTTGCACTGAAGGATAATGAGTGGTTATTTCACGATATACCTTATGATTTTGCAAGCGCTAGTCATTATAATTTGTACAAGCATTCAAAGAATGGGTTTGCTACTATAGAATTAAAGGTAAGATAAGAGAGCCTTATTATATTACAGATTTATCATTTAAGTTATATTTCTCATTTATCAGCTCGTAACAATCCATTTCTGGTCTGAATAAATATCTTCTATTTTATGGAGGATGTTCTGTAGCTGACACGCTTCTTGCACCTTTGATGCTATTCCGTCATCAATTTGGATATTTTACATCTGGTGTTAAGAAGATGAAGAAACTGCCATCTATAGAAGGCAATGAAATATTTCTATCTAGCGTTCGCCATAGTTGTCTGTTAACGACATCAATGGAATGAAATAGTGATCTTCTTAAGTCGCCATCACACGAAAAGTAAGTTAGTACTGTTGTAAACATGTTGTATCGCTTTCAGGAACCAACAAATATTCTTGTTGGAGAAGGTAAAGGGTTTAGTTACAGCGATCTTTGGAAAATAACAATGCTTTATAACTACAATGTCAAGAAAAAAGCTAATTCTATAAAGGCTTCTGATTGTGTTAAGCTTTTTCAACCTGGTGCTAATTTTAGTAATTACGAACCGCTCGTCGATGATGAAATCGAACCACGAAGTAAGCCTAATAAATATTTAGGAAAGTTACCAACGTTACCTGGTAAACCAAACGTACATAAGTTACCAACGTTACCTGGTAAACCAAACGTACATAAGTTACCAACGTTACCTGGTAAACCAAACGTACATAAGTTACCAACGTTACCTGGTAAACCAAACGTACATAAGTTACCAGTGTTACCCAGTCAGCCTAAGAATAAAAATAGTGGTAAGAAAAATGATAACGATGACGATGAAGAGCAAGAAGTTGGGGAAGATAGCAAAAAAGAAGATTCACGCGAAGACCGTAATTCGGACAAAGAAGAAAATATCAGTGACGAAAAGTTCCCAAAAGATCTGGTTAACCCTACTCGTAAAATTTGGAAGACCACAAAACATTTGAATAAAATATTTACAAAAATGATGAGTTGATAAACAGAGGAAAATAAAGGAATGAAAATAAATAACTTATTTATTACTTTTTTTTGCAATAACCATTTAATAATCTATCACATTATAGGCATGTTTGTATGTCTCGCTTTATGTAACATGTTTCACAAATTACTTCGCAGCACCATTTAAATTGACAGTTACAATTTTCTGACTCTCTTATTGTATTTTGTACATATCCTCGTCTGCAGCAGAGTTGATCACAACTATCTGTTCCCGCAGAACTTATATTACATTGACGTCCTTCTGTACCAAGAGATCCAGTCTTCATATTGGGAGTACAAAAATCCGGGGATTCTTCTGAATAAATGATGTCCTTTTTGCCAGGATTCTTTAAATTTGGACTCTCTGGCATAAACCCTTCACCGTTGTTGTTCGAAATTACCTAGTAGGATAAAATTTAGTATTTAGTCTCTAATACCTTTGATTAAGTCGAAACTAGCCTGTGAGTAGCCACTTTTTTAAATAGCAATTTTTGATATATGATCACAGTTGATTTTTTTTATTGACCGGAAAGTTGGTAGTTCCGCATTAAATTATATTCTATAGACGCTATTCCCCATGAACTGGACGATTAGCAGAATTTGATCATCTGTTAAATAACATCTAAATTTTCCGTTATATCCTTGAAAAAAATTTTACGATTATCAGAATCAATACAATTAAAAATCAGAATGCGCAATCATTCTTAAAATACACAAACAAAATTGAAAAATTTAAAAGCTTGTATAGGAACGTTTAATAAGTTGGTATGCGAAAAATTCATTGTTATATTTTTTATTAGTAATAAAGTAAGTATTATCTCTCTGCATGTTATAGGTCTAAATAAATATTTTTTTTTCATAAAATACGGGTGACAAACGAGCACACAACCCAGCTGATAGTAAGTGGCTTCTGTGGCCCGTAGACGTTTTCATCCATCCTCGATTAAGAATCAAAATGCAGATGCGTCGCCACCCCTGAGGACTTAGATAGAATGCTTTGTTTCCTGTAGAAAGGGTATCCGGTTCTCAACACTCATCATATGGAACACGTCGTGTTCCATATGATGATTGTTGAGATCGTGGACCTTCCCCATTAGAGCCGATAATATAGCTGCAACATGGCTCTACCACGTAATATAACATGCGGGAAGATACAGGACTCATGAACGTGCTCTGTGGCATGCTATGGGAGAGGTCAGCGGACTTGTGACGCACTGTAATGAATGAAAAAAGTAGGATTTTTCTTAATGCCGAGACGAGGAGATTTCACCGGTCTGCTTAATGGGAGACTTGCTCACGTACCATGCTACGATAACTAGAGATGAGCGCTTAACGTCCTCTGGAGATAATAAGGCCTCACAAAATGTAATATTATTATGTTAAAAATACCTTCGAAGCACCTTCAAATCTGTCGCGCAGTCGATTACCAACTTCTCTAAAAGCTGGCATCCTCCACCAGCAAGTACGAAGAGTACATGAACCTGATAGTCCATGGCATTTACATTCAACTCTCATGTTATTTTTGATTGCCTAAAATAAATAAAATATCACTTACTGTTCATGAATTTTATCTACTACCTGACATTTTTAGATTCAGTTATTTTTAACATAAGTTACATTGTTAAAATAGTTACTAACCAACCTCCCAGCGTTGTGGTTGTGAAGTTTAATCAAAGTCTTTATATTATCACTTCGTTTCCTGTAACGACTGTCCATAAATTCCCTAGACTTTTGCAGACCAAAGCGTATATTGTCACTACAACCGCCCCATTGCCATCGGTCCGTCTCGACTGAGGACGGGGGGAGCGGAACTGGAGAAATCCTCCCGCGACGGGGTTTAGTAACATCCTGAAAACGATGAAAAAACATAAAATTGTTTCTGTATCATTAATTAATTACTGTAAAAACCGGTATATAGTATAGTCAAATCATTTATAAAGACTTAACAGATGTAATATATTATATGAAATATAACTTCATTTTAGATAAAAATACTGTTCGCATCGGTATTCTAATTGAATTTAAAAATAATTAGAATTTATAAATTTCATATCAATAAATTACCTTTTCACATGAACATTCTAAAAGTGCTCCTGCAGTACAAGCTCGCGTTATAGCATATGTAACTCCAGCAGCAGTGATTGCATTTACAAAGCCTGTTTCCCGCGTATCTGTTAAAAACAATAATAATTGCTGTAAAAAGTTAAGTAATTGCCTATATAAACATCCTACAACTGATCACGGGCCTCCTCTCATTCTCGCGAGGGTTATAGGTATTGCAGTGCGGTAGACTTTTCCTTACTCTAATATCATGTGCTGACATAATTGAAAATAGATAATAAGATATTTATTAGAATTCGCTCTTAAATTACTGATATCGCATTGCAACTAAATAAATACTTTTACCTTCACTCCTCCCAAAGTAAAGTTAATTATGAATTCGTTTATGTTTTAGTATTATATAGTTATTGAAAAAAGTAAGATAATAGCTAATCTAAAGTAAGTTAATAAATAGCCTGCTGCTGAGTTTATCACATTGCCCCTACACGCATTGACAGGCTTCTATACACAATGTAAACTAACATTTGTTAGATACTAAATCTATGATGTAAACGTGATACATTGGCAACATATACTAAAACCTAGAATTGTCAATTTTTTTAATTTCTCAGACATACTGGTTTCTTGACGCTTTTTTCTGCTGAGTGCGTGGTAAATCAGTGGCGTTGTCAGGAATAGATTTTTTTTTTGAAATTTTGAGATAAGCTATCATACCCTGAGCTACTATTACTCATCTTCCAGAACGATAACAAATTTTTGTTGTAGGATTTTTATGTTGTAGAGCCATGCTGCACATTAGTTGTTGTTGTAGCACGAATCGGTCGACTCGGCCGGGAAAGGACCAAGCTCTCACTGAATACCAGCGTAAAATAACAGTTTTATGCTGCTTGTTGAGTGTAGAGAACCGGAAACCCTTTTTCTGGAAATGAGGCATTCCATCTTATTGCTCAGGGTGTCACGCATCCGCATTTTAATCCTTAACTGAGGCTAGATGAATATATCTATGAACCACAGCATCCACTTACCATATGCTGTGTGCTCTTTTGTTAACCTTATTATATAAAAAAAGGTTTTAAGAGATCGATATCGTGTGAAAGGTGCAGATGAAGGTAACTGATATTGGTGGGGTAAAACGACGAAAAAGAAGAAGAATGCAGTACTTTTGTATTAAAGTCCGTGTGACTTCTATTGGTTGACATTTTTATATAACGTTTGTGTCACACGCAATATCAAAAAAAAAATTATACGTTATTAAAGTTATATTAGTGCTTGTAATTTATTTTATAGATTCTGTTTATAAATGTCTCTCAAACAAAAAGCCATGTATATGTATATAATAGTTTACGACGATTGTTAAAATCTTCTCTTCCCATCCCTTCAATTTCAAAGTCTATTAAGGAAATTAGTAGTGGCGGTGTAAGAATATCCTTTACGCCATATCGTACCGTTGGTGTCGTAAGAAACAACAGAGGGAAACTGATATAGGCAGGGTAGAAGCATGTTCCCGATAGCAGCTCAAAATTAAAAAAATGCGCTAGCAAACCGTCTGCCAAACGTGGCAACTATAGCAAAATTCTCCCTATTAGGATAATAATCTATGGGGGGAAACCTATGTTCCACAGTGGCATTTTATAGGCTGTAATGGAATAATAGTAACGGATATAAGCGAAATCATCGACAAATTATTAAGTATTAAATAGATCCTTAATTTATTAACTTCCATTTTGTTACCATTTTATACATCAATTTGACGTTTTACAAACGTACTCAATTGCAAATGTATTTACTTCAACTACATTTAAACCCACGATAAAATCTATTGAAAACGACAATTTTATAAATTTTCATGACGAATAAGGAGTTCTGTGTTTTGCAAGGACTGCAAACAGGCGCTCATTAATTTGATTTGAAGTGATATATATAAGTAAGAAATACCTTGATTTTATTTTCCAAGGCAAGCATTTGTTATGTCACAAGCAATTCACCACGTAATAAATGTTTCGACTACGTATTCACTGTGGTCATTGGTACGCCTCAAGGCATAGAAATAAAATGCAAAAGACGGCACATAAAGCACCTACACAATGATACAAAGTGAAGCTGTTGACCCAAAAATCAATATTCACATGACTGTTGTAATAAACATCGATGAGCTTTACGAATCGAAGGTTTCATCCATAAAACATTTAAGCGTGAGACACGGCCGCTTGTTTCGTTGAACCTAGTTAATGAATATGGACAAGCAAACAAAAGCAGACTAAAATATTTTACGAAACACATGAATTTTGTTGATATAACTACATACTTGCAAATCGCTTGCTACATATGTCAAATTTTTTAGAGTATTAAAATGTAGATATCAATTGATATCAATGTCAGTAAGAAATAGAAAAAATTCTAAAATTTACTTGCACTACCATTATTGTGCTTCTACGTTTGCCTTTTATGATTATCATTTATATAATCATAAAAGGTAAACGTAGAAGCAGATGTTGCATTTTATAACAGATAACGGTGAGACAACTACTCTTTAAGATTATTATTTATTCTATATGTATTTATTATTTTAGCAAGTTGTAATTCAACATTAATGTGCCTTGTTCTTCGCGTCAATGAGTTAGTTCACGGCACCTGGCTATAACAATTAATGGTGGGTCAACCGATGTTGGATGAATATTCAGACGGCATGAATAATGTGAAAATTGCTGCGCCAGTCATCTACTGAATATGCGCCGGACATCAACTGTATGGAGTCTGTTTTTGTTTAGGTCGATGACTTTATATTGATGGCTTTCAATTATATTGCCGGGGATTAGTTTCGTATAAACTTGATTTAGCTCATCGATAGGCATGCTTTCTTTGCTTTGATTTACAACCGTTTGATTAGCTTCACGAAATATTCCGGGTTCATTGTTATTGCTTCCATTATATTGTGAGTTTATCTTTATTCGGGTTTTAAATATTTTTAACCACGGAAGAAAATATTTTTATCTAAATCTTATCTAACATTATTTATTCCAAAAATTTATTTTATTACCATACAGTATATCGTAGTAATTTTAATAACTGTACTTTTAACTCAGTGTTTCATTTAAGTAATCATCATCATCATTACAACCTTTCATAAGTCTACTGCTGAACATAGGCCTCCCCCAAGGAATGCCACAAAGCACGGTCCTGAACCACCTGCATCCATCGACTTCCTGCATGCCTTACCAGGTCGTCACTCCATCTCGTGGGGGGTCGCCCTACACTTCGCCTACCGGTACGAGGCTGCCACTCGAGAACCTTTCTTCCCCAAGGTAGTCGGTTCTTCGAGCTATATGGCCGGCCCACTGCCACTTCAGCTTACTAATACGTTGAGCTATGTCGGTTACTCTAGTTCCACTGAGGATATCCTCATTTCTAAGTTTATCACGCAGAGAAACTCCGAGCATAGCTCTCTCCATAGCTCGCTGAGCGACCTTGAGCCTCCTCATACGGCCAGCTGTGAAGGACCACGTCTCAGTTCCGTATGTCATCACTGGCAACACGCACTGGTTGTACAATTTCGTTTTAAGGTTTTGAGGTATGTCTGACGAGAAAATGTGTCGTAGCTTCCCGAACGCTGTCCAGCCGAGTTCAATCCGTCGATTGACCTCTCGGTCGAAGTTGGACTTACCTAGTCGGACTATTTGTCCCAGGTAAACATACTCGTCAACAACTTCGAGCTTAGTGCTCCCAACAACTACCGGCATAGGTGTGACATGGACATTAAACATAATCTTTGTTTTGTCCATGTTCATCTTAAGACCTATCCGTTAGGAGACACTATTGAGGTCATTGAGCATAGTGCTTAGGTCCTCCAGCGATTCTGCCATAAAGACTAATCGTCGGCAAATCGAAGGTGAGTGATGTACTCGCCATTGATGTTGATACCGTATCCTTTCCAGTCCAGAAGCTTGAAAACGTCTTCCAATGCAGCGGTGAAGAGTTTCGGGCATATGACGTCACCCTGTCTTACACCTCTCTGCAATTGGATAGGTTTCGTACTCTGGTTCTGTACTCGGATAGCCATCGTAGCTCTACTGTACAAACACTTCAACACTTCGATATACCGACAGTCAACTTGGCACCGCTGAAGGGACTGCAGCACCGCCCAAATTTCGACGGAATCAAAGGCTTTCTCATAGTCCACATACGCCAGACATAGTGGCAAATTGTACTCTTCGGACTTCTGTACAATTTGCCGAAGGGTATGTATGTGGTCTATGGTGCTAAAGCCCTTTCGGAAACCGGCTTGTTCGGGAGGCTGGAAGTCGTCAAGTCTGCACGCGAGACGATTCGTAATGACTCTCGAAAACAGTACGTTGACGCGGCTCGGTAGGGAAATCGGTCTGTAGTTCTTCAAGAGAGCGTTGTCACCTTTCTTGAAGAACAAGACCACCGCACTTCTGCTCCACGCCTCCGGTGTAATGCCACCATGGAGGACGGAATTAAAGAGCTTCTGAAGGACTTCAAGTACCGGTCTTCCACCCGCTTTCAGAAGCTCCGCTGTAATTCCATCCTCGTCTGGGGCCTTACCGTTTTTAAAGTGCTGGAGAGCCATTCTAATCTCGCTCAGACTGACGTCCGGGATATCTTCGGAATAGTGTCGGATGAGACTCGCTCTTGGATCGTTACTCACACTTGCGTGTGGCTCCAACGATGACGTGTACAGGTGCCCATAGAACCTCTCAATCTCACTCAAAATCTCAGGCGTCCCGGAAACGATGCTGCCACATTCTGTCTTCAGCTTTGACAGTTGGCTCTTTCTGGCAGACAGATCTCTGGCAAAGACTTTGGAGCCTTGGTTCCGCTCGATCGCTTCTTCAATACGAGCTGTTTTGAAGTTGCGTAAGTCCCGCCGCATGCATTTGGAGATCTGTCTGTTTAGATGCCTGTATGCTGTCAAGTCTGTTGAAGAATGTAGCTTCATCTCCGGTCTAACAGTCATGAGATTAAGAGTGTGATCGGAGAGTTTTTGTGTTCTTCTGCGGCGGGTCTTGCAGACCTTAGCTCCGACCGCATGGACAGTTTCCACGAGCTTGTCATTCATATCGTCCACTTCATTGCAGTCTTCTAGGCACTG